CTTGAAGTTTGTTTTCCCTGTAAATTGCTGACACGAGTTAATTGGTACAGCCTCGCTTCATACATGACAGACGAAGAGATCCAGCACGGCATTTTGTATCCATCTATTGATAGGTAATGTTTCCAGTTGTAGGTGGTTACAATTTCTTTTCTCCTTTTGGGAAGTAGGGGATCTCGTACCTGCATTTTGCTATTTGAAATATTCAGTGTTGCATGACTAACCTGCATTCTTATGGCATTGATATAATTTTCAGACAGTACAATTGCTTGATGAACCTGCTTCTAGCCACTCACATTATCCGTCTGCAAGCTATACCACTATCTTCATTTTGTTTCATTTTATGTCAAAAATGTCATATTCTACGTCTTGCATATCGCTGGAATTTGAGCAGCCAATCATTCCTTGATGGAAGCGGATAATCATTTTCTTAAGGATCATGATTTAGAAAAACATCATGTAATTAGACTTAGAAGGTAGATTGGCAAATGGATATTAAAATTTATTTTGTAAATAAAGTGTAACGTATTTGTGGTTGATACCCACTGTTGTCTTGCCTTGCTGGTTAGTTGTCATCGCCACAAAAAGAGGCACATTCCACTTTACTTTATTTTGGAGTCTCATTGTTGACTGATGCCACTTTGTTTATTTATGCAGTATTCGGCATATTACAGCAGAGGTAGGAGCTGCTGTTCTGCGAGCAGCCGTGGAAGAAGACGTGGCAGAAGGACATGGTGAGGCAGGCCCCCGGGAGCTCAAGCACATGTCAAAAGTAAGTAGCTATTGTAAATGCAATGCTGATGATGAAAATACGTCCAATGAAACACAAATTCTATATTGATTGGAAGCAATACAATTAAAGGAACCTATATTAACTTGAGAGGTGTTAATAAATAGAGCAAGGAATATGTGCAAACATAAATTTATTTTTCTTTGTTGATTGAATAAATAAACACATAATAGAATCATTATGCACGTTTTCTTTGTCAAAGTTATTGGGTATTTGCACTGTATGGAGCAAGATAGCTGGAAGACATGACACAAGGAAATTACCATCTAGTCGTTACATATCTCGCATGCATATACATCAATTCAACCAGCCTTCGCTTGTGTAACAACTATAAGAATTATCTACTCGTTTATTTTATCGTGTGAATTGCTTAAAAATGTCTACTTATTTTTTTTCTGTGATTTTGGGTGCAGGCGGAGACAGTAGCATATGTGTCACGGAATATGTGGTTCCCTGTTTACAGCCCTCTTGTTCATGAGAAATAAGGCTCGAATGACCTTTCCTAATATTTTCCATTGGGGCCATTTTCTTCAAACTAGGTCAGATCATGTAGCCCAACCATTATATTTTATTTCTGCTTGTTTTCCTGAACTCATAATTTGCCAACTTCAGAAATAGAAGGGCGAGTAATGGAAGCAGGAATTTAATATTCTGGCTCACCCACCGGAGTTCTGATTTGTCACATGTAACGGATTAGTTTATGTATAATATTGAATTCATTTTCTGGGGGCAGTGTCACAATTAGTCATTTTTCGTTTTGAGATCGTGCCAGGTTTCATAAAGAGAAAAATATTGTGTTTTTCCTGCGCTATGCTTACATTGAAAAGTCAATTCGCATCCTCCGTTTCGCTTTTGGTTAATTGCACTTAAAATTACCGGTCCATGTGAATAACGTCCTTTCCTCCTGAATTGATTAGCATTCCAGGATATAAAGTAAAAATGTGTATTGAATTAATTGAGAGATATTTATCCGCAAATAACACGTGCAAATCTTGTGTTCCCCCCCTCAAAAAAAATAAAAATAAAAATAAATCCATTGATCATGGAGACATTAACCCGAACTCCAATTACCATAATGAAATCATTACCAAGAATTCAAATTCTAGTGGGGTGTGCAAGGCTGAGGTGGGCTGTAGCCCAGAGAGAAAAAAAAATCTTAATATTTAATGTACAAAACTTTAATCCACACATAGATGCATATAAATGCAGCAATTAATAGTTTGAATAAGTTTTGAAAAAAGATCTTTTAGTGTTCTAATAAATCTAAATTAAATTTTTTTAAATGTATTTTCCTAAAAAAACCCGATTTGACATTAGTATTCCCATCTAATATTATTTAAAAATATAAAATGATTCTTAATAAACAACCAACTAAAATATTGAATTTTTTTATTAAGTTTTTATATAAATAATTTATTTTTTATTTAACAAATTGATAAATATCTTCATGCAAAAATAATTAAATTATATTCTTTTCTTTATCTTTAATATTTAAAAAATATAAATTCATTTTGGATTTCACATGCATAGACTAAAAGATTTTATTCAATATAAATTATTATATTAAAAGCAAGATGTTATTAAATATATTAATTTTTTTTCGGTTAAAATTTAAAAAACTAACCAGTTTCCTTATGACATTCATTAACTAAATCTTGTTAATATATTTATTAAAATTTAATTATTTTATGCAATAATTTATGAGCTTTTACAATAAATTCTCTTACAAAATAGAAAAGATAAATATTAATTGGAAAAATAAAATTATTATTAGCAAATAACCTAACTAAGATACTAGTGAAATCCTAATTAAGAAAATTAAAATTTTTTCATTAAGTTTAGATATGAATAATCTATCTTTTATTAGATAAAAAGAAAATATTATCTTCTTGGAAAAAAATGAAGAACTCCTACTTGTGAACTTGAAATTTGATTTAATTATATCTTATTTTGTATCAACTAATAAAGCATTACTTCGAATTTAAAAAATGTTGGATTTGATTTTCTCCTTACATATGTGCAATATGTTTGCATACAATATAAGATTGACATATCACATATGAATGTTTTGTACAAAAAGACTACAGGTGATTTATGTCAATAACAAAAATTAGTGACAGTTTACCAACATTATCATTATGATATATTTAACTCAATAATATATTTTTAGTTGGAAAAATTAAATTCTAGATTCAGTGATGAGACAATAAAACTCTTTGTATTTAGCTCTGCTTTAGAACCTAAAGACAACTTTAAATCATTTAAAGTTGATGCTATTTGCAAACTTGCTAAGAAATTTTATCATGAAGATTTCAATGAATAAGGGATGTATTATTTAAGATTTCAGATAGAGCATTATTAGATTGATGTGATTCATTATAAGAACTTTTAGAATATGTCTACTATTTCTGAATTATGTTAAAGATTAATTAAAATAAATAAGTCGCAACATTATCATTTGATTGACAAGTTGATTTGTTTTATTTTGACTTTGTTTATTTTTATTGCCACCATAAAGCGAGCATTTTTAGCAATAAAACATGTTAAAACTATGTTTTATAATAAAATAAAAGATGAGTTTTTAGCATATTTTATGATGATTTACATTGAACGAGAACTTGGTGAAGATATTGATTCGAATTCGATCATAAATGAATTTTATTTCACAAAATATAGAAGGTACAACTTTGATAGTGTAATTTATTTTTATTTTTTTAATTTTACATACTTTAAATTCGAATTAAAACTTTATTATTAACTTCATAAATTTATATATAAATTAATGATTGATCTTGAAAAATAATTTATATAAATTTATTTAATAGCTCAGGACAAGAAAAATTCATGGCTTTAGATCGAGTATCTATTTATTTTATTTTCTTCCTGTCTGCCCTTGACGTGAGTATCTATTTATTTTATTTTCTTCCTGTTTATATTCTTTTAGTGCCATTTAAATGTTTTGCTTTTCAACTAGATAATTAATATAGGTTTCATAATTAACAAAAGTCCGTATCTTGATGTTAACCAGATAAGAAAAATGACGAGGGATAAATTAAAGATGGTTTTTTTTTAAAAAAAAAAATCTTTGAATTAAAAATCTGTACAATATATTTATTGCTAATTAATTTTATTTTTATTAAGTGAAAGATTATATGATAAGTTTTCATTTAAGATTATATAAACGATGAGTTTTTTTTTTTAAATCTTTGAATTAAAAATCTGTACAATATATTTATTGCTAATTAATTTTATTTGATCAAATGAAAAACTGTATGATAATCTTTCATTTAAAATGTATATTGTATATTGTATATTTTTCATTGAACATAAATTAAGAAAAAATTATATGATATTAAATCAATCCATTTTAATTAATACTTTTGAGTTCTTAATTTTTTTTTAATATAAATGATAAATCATGTTTCTCTAATTATCTTTTATTTAAATTCCTTCTAAATTTGAACATAAAATCATGCAATATAATTTGTAACGCTTTTTTTTTCCTACTCACAAGTACAATCCAGATTTTCAAATGAATATGCACCACGTATATAATAATATCTTACACGTGCATTTTTTTTTAAATATTTTCTTTTTACCTATAATGATGTTAATTGTTTTTCATTCAAATTTAGTAGATAAAAACTTCTATAAATACTTAATCAAATTGAATAAATATATATGTTCGGATAAGTAAAATATAAAATGTGTAGAAGTTGGGTGTTAATTGCTTTCAGATTTGAGTGAATTATTTTACTATAGCGTCTCAAATAAGCGCACGAACACTCAATAACACCAACTCATACACTAAAAATTGAGTCACCTTTGAGATCAAGGGGTTTGTTCCCTCTGTTAGCGTCTCAAATAAGCGCACGAACACTCAATAACACCAACTCATACACTAAAAACTGAGTCACCTTGTAATGGGACGTAGACAATTAGATCAACAATATATGATCTCTAATGGTAATTTTTAAACAATATGCGATCAATTTTCAAATTAGGAACTTCTCCTTCAGTGATATGGATTACGTGTGCGCGCAAGCTGGCCCGGACACCCACGTTAATCTAAAAAAAAAAACTGAGTCACCTTGTAATGGGATGTAGACAATTAGATCAACAATATATGATCTCTAATGGTAATTTTTAAACAATATGCGATCAATTTTCAAATTAGGAACTTCTCCTTCAGTGATATGGATTACGTAAAAAAGAATATACAAATCCGGAAATTCGTGTCCTCGAAGAATTCGGATTATATCCGCACTATAAATACAGGATACCTGAGGCGATTTATCTCACAAATCCATTCAACCAAGCCTTAGAACTCTCTCTCAGTGCTCTCTCTCTCTCTACGCACCAGCTTTCTTGCAACCCATATTCATTGTCTTCCAAGCGATCATGGCTAGTTTCTGGAAAACAATACTGGTCGTTTCTTTCTTGACGACGGCTCTTTGCGGAGTCTCCATGGCTACCGTTTATCAAGTCGGTGACTCTGCTGGTTGGACAAGCATGGGTCAAGTTGATTACCAAGATTGGGCTGCCAACAAGAATTTTCACGGTGGTGATACTCTTGTCTTCAACTACAACAACCAATTCCACAACGTGAAGCAAGTGACGCATCAGGGTTTCGAGTCATGCAATGCAACATCACCAATAGCTACTTATAACAACGGCTCTGATACAGTCACTCTTGGAAAGCAGCTTGGCCACTTCTACTTCATATGTGGTTACCCTGGTCACTGTCAAGGAGGACAAAAGATTGATATCCTGGTCGTCCGTGCAACAGCAAATTTGAGTCCTGCTGCATCACCTGGCAGCGCTTCATCGTTTTATTCTAGAAACCTGTCTTGGACTTTAGGTGTGCTAGGATTCTGTCTCCTGGGATTTGCTTATTAGGAAGGTTTTCAAGTTGCCTGTCTTTTGCCAACCTCGAGGGGTTTTCTCGGTTTCATTGATGCAGTGCTTACTTTCTTTTTTCTTATTTTAATTAGCAAAGGGATGATTAATGACAGGTTAAAATTGTTTTTTTATTTCTTTAATGGAGATTCGTCATCAATTACATGAATACTTTGAATAAAAATACTATTCGTCCATTATAATTGCTGCCGCTTATTGCACTTTATAATTAACCACCTTCTTTTTACCCGATCTGATTAGCAAGAAGTTGCAATTAAAATTAAAAGAAAAGAAAGGAAAAAACAAAACAAAACAGAGGCTCAGTGTTTCACCATGTACCAAGAATAATTATACATCGCACTGTTACAATGGAATGGCTACAGTCGCATGATAGTTTTGCCCTCTGCAATAAGAGCCAGGAAAGAGCAAATTTAGGGGCAAAATGATCTATACCAACAAATTATGGAGTTAATGATCAAGATTTGATGCGGTAATAGCTAATAGATTTGGCATTGTACTTGTAATATATTTTAGCTATACAATAAGGCAACTCTTCCACACAACTTTATATTACATCTCTTACAATTTGAATGTAATTGATTTTATTTTTTTTTAAATTTCATTTTATCTTTTCTAAAGATTTCACTGTTACTATTATTTATAACTTAATAAATATTTTTTTAATTTATATAAGATGATGAATCATCTTTTAATGACTCAAATATTTTCATATAATACCAAATATTTTTTTTTGTTATCATTAATTAAAACAACGTATAAGTCATGATTAAGTATAATACTTTTTATATAAATAATTTAGTAATTTCAAATTCAAAAATCACTTACTTAATTATCACACGAGTTTTTGTATAAATATATTTGATTTTTCTACATAGAATACTTATACAGGTTAGTTCATTGTACATGTTAGATAACACCTACATTTCACAACGGAAAAAAATATATAATATGTATCTAATCAATATCATCTCTTAATAAAATATTGACCATGAATATTTAGAAATAATATTTTGATGAAAAAAATATCATAGTTATAACCATTTTATAATTTCATTTGCAAACCCTTTTTTATCCTAATGAATTTATCTTTACCATAGCTTTATTAATCAGATATAAATCAATATTAAAAATAAAAAAATATTTATTAATAATACATATATATTTTTGAATGAATAAAGATATTATCATGTATAACCAACCGATTAACAATAATGTATCTATACTAACAATTTCCCACATCCACTAAAATCAATTGCTATTATGTCTAGCACCATATTGCTCCACATGACTATCATGTTTATGCTTATGCTAGGATAGAGCCTTGCTAAAAGGATTTATATGATTCTTTTTAGTGAGTATTTACTTCACATGATAAATTTGATTGGAACAATGCGCAAAACACTATTTTGAAGAGGGTATGGAAAAATCATGTGGTAACTAAGTAACATCGAAAATAATACAAGATCTTTATATATATTTTATTTCTATAATTCTCTAATAAAATGTAATTGTTTAAATACATGTTTAGATTATTAATAAGATATTGGTTCTTTTGCTAATATAATGGCTTCATTGTCATTACAATATAAGACTACAAGATCAATAATGTTAACAATCACACCTAATTAATCCAAACGACTTCTTTGTTGCCTTAGACATAGAGATGTGTTCAATTTTAGTTATAGAATTTTTTGTGATTTCTTATTTGAAACTCTTACAACTCATAGCACTATTATTTATAGTAAAATATATCCAAACTAAGATTTATTAGCATTAATAACTGGTTAAAAACTAGGATCCAAACAATGATGAACTACAAAGTCATCTCTCCTTCATAAACTAGATATATATTCTTAATTACTTAATAATACTTTTACCTATCAATCTATGACCTTTACATGAATTAAATTGATATATAATTGTTATGCTTAAAGAAGATAATTTGGTATTGTACATAATATGATGGATTCTATAACGGAAGCATATGAATTTCTTTCCCTCCTATCTCTCAAGATTTGTGTCTTAAGGCTCATGCCTTTAAATAAATGTATCCATATGAATTAGATTGGTATATAGTCATGCTAGTTATGAAGTTCTTCAGGATTGTGTGCTGGCGAAATAAACTCGGGATTAGCTGAATCCACATGTATGAATGAGACCAATCGACTCTCAACCAAACAGGTGAAGCATCAAGCAGGCCTAATTGAATCCTAACGTTCAATGATGCAAGACAACTTTGATGACGGGTAGGATTACAGGTTGTAGATCAAGGGCTGGGGTTGATGGGTGTGTGTGTCATCAAATCCTTATATCAAGCCCTTGAAAAAGAGGTGCTGCTAGTCGCTAGTCAGGAGAATATGAAGCCAGCCTTATGCAGCTACTGAACGAACTAAAAATGATTCACTGTAATCTAAAAATGACAAGAGGAGCAAACATAACATATAAGAATCTGGATGTTTGTATTAATAGTTCAATGAATCCTTCTCTGTTAGTGCTGAGGTAGTTTTACGCGAACAAGCAAGACAGTCCAAAATGTTCTTAGATGTTTCCTACTCTGTTTCTGTTTCAATCAGCATAAGATTAAGAAATCGTCAATGATCGCAATGGAGATTTATATGGACATCAGCGAAAGATACCAGGTAGTTTTTGGAGTAGTTTAAACAAATTTAGCATAGAATGATTGAATCAATCAGAAGATATGGCAAGACAGTCCGTTCTGATTCATCTGTTTATCATCCATGTACTCTTAAGTTCTCTGATACTTGAAGAAATTGGAGTTACTAATGTAACTCCAATTTGGTATGACCAAAACTAAGAAAAAAAAGTGTTTTCATTGTATTGTAGTTTCAGTTATTTTATATATTTTTAGATTTTTTTAACATATTAATATTAAAAATAAAATTTAAAAAATAAAAAACATTATTTAAAAACATTTTAAAAAATAATAATCATCACTGCATAAGAAGGTTGAGTTAATAGAGAGAGAGATTCAATGCATGAATCTTTTAAGAAGGTCCAGTTCTTACAGTACCTAAGTTGCTAATTTTCTTCTTTTCTTCTAAGCACCGGCATTTTGCATGGGTAAGTTGCTAATTTTCTTCTAAGCACCGGCATTTTGCATGACATGTGGACAAAGTTAGATAGTTTTGCTCCGAATTTCCTAGCATTCACATGCAACATCCACACAACACTTTTGAATTTTCAGATCCCTTTCTGATGGGATCTCTATGCCATCCACACCAGACCACTCTCTCCACACATCTCTATGCCATCCCTTTCTGATGGCATCTATGCCATTTGATCCAAAGTCGTCTGAAATATGCAGGGCTAGAAACCAGGCAACGAAATCGATCCATTTTCTGCCGCGCTCATTAAAATGTCAGAAATAGGCTGTTGTTCTACCAAGTCAACATTAAACTGTGAATGCTAACAGCTTGAGATGAAAAGAGAGGTCTTCGGGCTATTGAGAAACTGAAACGGTCTGGTCTCTGATTATGTGGTCTTTTAACAGCTTGATGTGATGTACCCTGCACATTGCATCTGCAGATTTTATGAAGACCAGATACAGAAAACTTGATATTTGGTATGGCCGAGACTCCATTTCTACAGAACCAGTTGGTGAGGTTCATGTCAGTTTAACCAATCTTTTTGAACAGGATACAAATCATATATGCACTCGACCATTTTTGACATTTGCATATGAAAAACTGGTATGATTAATGACATATTAGGCTGCTTCTGTGTGTATACCCCCAACATAAATGAAGGCCAGCCTCTTAGCTCTCATTTTAGAAATCAGTAGAAACTGACAGTCATGCAAGTTTCCCATCAGCATTTTCGTTATTTCTCTCAAGGGAAAAAAAAAATGAAACTATATTCAATGTAATGGACAAATTCCACAAGACAATTGTCATGGACACAAGCCCATTTTATTGATATTCCCCAAGAAATTTCTAAAATATTAGATACAACATTTGATAAAACGAGAAGAACATCCGAGACCAGTGCTGAAACGATTGCTCAGGATATGCAACCAACAATGTAACAGTCAGATTACATGCCTGGATGTGTATGCTAGGCTAAATCTGGAAAGATTGTGGACACTTGGATCAATCTATAATATAATCCAAGCTATTTTGTCAAATTATCAGTATCACGAACAAGCTTCATCAAGGGAAGCGCAATTGCAGCCACTGGTTTATTCTCAAATCCACCACCTTCATCAATAATCAATCTAAGACCATCAATATGAAGTTTCCCGTGGTGGCCGCTAACCACAATGATCGGTTTCTCAGTTAATTCCTATGTGAAATTAAACATCAAACATCCACACTTCAGTTATATATATATAAAAGAACAATGATATATAATGTCTTGAATGTGTGACGCTGTCAACATCCGAGTCCTTTCCCACTAAAGAAAGTAAGTGGCTATAGAAATTAGTAGTTTAGGATAAAAAGTTTCAGATAAAAAAATTAGTAGTAGGTATCAAGCCATCACCTTTGGTATATCCCAAACTGTTTTCCTCCCACTAAGAGCCTCTATCTTGGGGACATGAGTCTCCTTAGCTTTCAAAAATCTCAGTTGTTCGCCTACATTTTTCCCTTCCTCTAGACCAGCATGCACGGCAATCAATTTACAGTGTCTAATTCCTTCTTCATCCTCTATGCACACATCATCCTGGAAAAGAAAATGTTAAGAGGATAATATAAAATTATTCTTGAGATTTTATCTAGCAGCTTAAGTTTTTTAATTGATATCTTAAATTTTTGAGTTGATAGCTTAAACTTTAGGATTGAAATAATTATTTGACATGATTTCAAATTTTTTATAAACAAACGGCTATGAATTCAAATCTCACTTGGTATTAATGAAGAAATGATTATGAGTTCAAATCTCATCATCCTTTTCTAACAAATAAAATTAATCACAGGGTAATAATATAAAACCATTATCGGGGCTTCACTTAATAGATTATGCTCTTGGGTTGGGTTTTTTGACAGAAAATTGCACATTATGAAACCCACCAAGCTTCATCCATTGTCACTACTGATCAAATCAAACTTCAAAGTATGGAACTCGCGTTATGTAATATACTCAGTTGATCAACTTTCCTTTTCAGCAACTTACACCACAACACTAGTCAAAATCATCATTGATCAAAGTTCTAAACGATAAAGGTGGCAATGAAATAAACTTCACCTCTTCATGGACCCAAACCATATCAGCTAGAAACTTCTTGTGATCATCAGGAACTGCCTTCAATAAGTCTGTCTCGATACAAAAATTTACACCAATAAATCACACTATTAATTGTATTGAATTCAGAACCATCTCAAGTGTAAAAAATGCAAGAATCTAAAGATTCCAATGCTCCATTAATGATTATACTAATCCAAAATATATTATTTTTACCATCTGACATTAAAAAACTAAGAATCAAACAACTCAAACACAATCTACTCAGTTCAAAACTGATGGACAACAATAGCCTATTTCATATTTAACGACTAAAACCCAAACAACAGCGATACATTTCAAAACAAACATGGAGACGTAATTAAGCTATTGATAATTAAAACTTCAATCAATGAAAGACTAAAAAAAACAAGACATACCAGAAGATCCATGAGGGACACCATAGGAAGCGAAAGTGGGACCAGCATCATAAATAGAGCCCTTGTATTCAGTCCCTTTAATGGTATTGAATCTCACCTTAATATGACCAGCCCACCTTCTCCCTTGCAAATGCATATTCTCATACCCGTCTCCTTTATACCACCCTTCCCTGTCCTCACTCTCTTCATACTCCTTCCATCCTTCCTTAAATGACACCCCATTTTGCGGCTCAGGCAGGACACCAACAAAAGCAGCAAAAGCAAAGTCATGATTTCCCGAAAGAAACACATGCTTTTGATTTGGATACCTTGAAGGTAATTCTATCAAGAAATCTAGGACTTTCTTGGTATCTGGGCCTCTGTCACAGTAATCGCCTAAGAAGATAATTGTTGCAGCGTTAAAGTGTTGGGGGTCGAATTGGGTTTCGAGATTTGACCACAGATTTTGAAGCTTTGTGATGTAGCCATGGACGTCGCCTATGCAGACGACTAATCTGGGTTTTGCGACCGTGCTGTTGTTGCTTGGCTCTGCCTCTGTCATTTTGGGTTCCGTGGTGGTTCTGTTCTGTCCTTCGATTGATAAAGAGAATGCTTTTGGGTACATATATTAATATTGGTCTGGTTTAGTGCTTGATTTTTTTATTTTTTTATTTTTTTTTAACTAGAGCGTGAAAGAGAAGTTCTTCTCGCCTTCTTGGCTGGCTGGTAACGTCTCTTTCTGTTGCCAGTTGTATCATAGGGATAGGATCCCCTCTTCGCCATACCCAAGCATCAACCATCATATATGAGTATTGGTTGATCATGCTTTTTCATTTTCTTATCAGAATTTATCTCAGTTTTTATTTTATTTTATTATTTATTAGTAGGAATTTATCTCAGTTTTTATTGGTTTTTATTTTATTTTATTATTTATTAGTAATTTTACTAATAATTTAACTTCATAATTTATCTCAATAATTCTTATTTGAATAATCAATTTAATAATTATCAGATTAATAGCTCCACCCATATACCAACTCATAAAAATTATGTTAAAAAGATTCACCATTGTGAATGAATATAATTTATGTATAATTATTTTTATTGTTGCGGTCAATTTTTATTTACATAATAGGTGGTAGTTACCATCATCACGGTTAATTTCTATTTAATAGTGATTACTGTCATTACATTCAAATCTCAATTTATATACTCGGTATCATTGTTGTGGTCAATTTCTAAGAATATTGAGAGCAAACAACGTTGATGATATGTATAATAACAAACCTGAAATTTGTTTCCCAAACAACATCTTATTACAATTTTTAATTTAAAAAATAATATTTTAATAACTTAAATGTAAATGAATTTAAAATATATAAAAAAATAAAATGCTCATGATTTATCATTACAAAGTTTCTTTGTAATGTTAGTGACCTGACCCTACAGTTCAATCTAGAGATCTCTTGACCAAATCTCTTTCCTTGTTTAAGTTTAAAATCAAATAATATTGTAATTGTTTTAAATTAATCTCTTTAACTTGATGTTATTTTTTTTTAAAATATTAAAATAATAATATTTTGAATCGATCCGAGTCAATTTGAGTTAACCTGTTAAATCATAATTTGTATTCTAAACCTTATTAGATTAAATAAATCTATTTTCTAGAGCTTTTTTATTTAATAAAATAATAATAACAATAGACATACATAGAAAAAAAAACAATAGCAAAATAAATTGGGAAAAAAGATCATAAAAAGTTGCTAAAAAATGTTTTCAAATCTTATAAAAACATTGTCATGATATAATTCAAGAACTAGGTAAGGAATTAAATGGAATTTAATAAACAACATCCCTACTATATTTTTGTTCAATTAGTTTTAATAAAATTTAATTAAAATAATAGAAAAACAATCTTAAAAAAATTCATAAAAGGCTTAACAAAAAAAGTTTAAATGACTACACTAGGGCAAATAAAATACGCCCATGACAAAGAAGATAAGATACTTTTAAGCTTACAAGACCAAACTCACATGCTTGACTATTTTTTTTAATATATTATTTATTTATTTTAAAAAAATTGAACATATTATTTATATTGACAAGTGACATATCATTTATTTAAAGTGATTGAAAGGTTGACTTTGCTTTTTTTAACCTAGAAAACCCATTTCCTTCCTTTTTTCTCACTTTAAAACATCTAATACATACTCCATAACCATTCAGAAATCTATACATAACTTCAAACCAACTTTTTACAAGCCAAAAAACTAAAAAATTACCTTAATTAAATTTTCCTGGTATAAAAGGTTAAAATCATCAAAATAAAAGTTTTCTTATCAAATAAAACTTATTAACATCAAGATTAATTTTTTTGTTTCTTTATAAAATGTTTAACAATAAAAAATATAAACAACTAAACTCAGGGATATATATATCTAACTAATAACAAAAAAAGGCAAGACACGCAGGGGGGGGTCTACAAGGCAAGATCATTTGCTTGACCATTTTTTTTAATGCATCCTCCATTTTTTTAAAAAAATAAATAAAATGACATGTTATTTGTAATAAAAAACAATATGTTGTTTACTAGTATAATTTTTTGATCACCTAAGATGATTGAAGAGTTGAGCTCTACCTTATTTAACTAAAAAAAATCACTTTTTAACCATTTTTTCACCTAAAAAATTCAAATGCATAATTCATAAATCTCAATAAATTTATATCTAACTTCGAATGAACTTTTAACATGCCAAAAAAAAATGACCTTTTGTTTTAAAAAAATTGAGTTCTTATTTATGTTTTTCCAGCAAGATAAATGATTAAAAACACCTTAATAAATCTCCTTTTATCAAATGAAATTTATTAATATAAAGATTGATTTTTTTTGTTAGATCATGGCCAACCAATTACTATCTTTTTTATTCATCATTTTTTAATAATATTTTTTTTTAAAATGCAATTAAAATGATGTTTTGAATAAAAAAAATTCTAAAACTAAATGTGCCAAAATAGAAAAAAAAACAATTTGGTACTAATTTTTATAAATCCACACCTCATGCACAATAAAAGAAATTAAAAAGAGGTTTATTATTTCATTGTCAATTTTGGTCCTTAAAATTTCTATTTTTTAAAAATAAAATTGAGTTCTATTATGCCAAATCAAGAATTAACCTAATGTTGAAATTTTTTTAAGGCCATACGAACCTCATAAGAAAATAAATAAATAAAATTATTAGCTTTAAATCCTATTAAATACACTATTTAAGGATAAAATTAAAAAAAAGCAATCAAATTATAAAATTCTTCAAAGACGAAAAAAGGAAACATTTTTGAAATTTTCAAAAGCCCTTTGTTTTTTTTATTTAGTAATTCACTATTGGTTGGTATTTATTTTTTAAAATATTTTAAAGGTTATTTTTATTTTAAAAAAGTAAATTTAAAGTGTTTTTATATGGTTTTTCAATTTGTTTTCAATGATTTTCATTTAAAATTTCAAAATCATAAAGACAAAACATAGGAAAAAATAAATTTAATATATTTTTAGTAAAAAAGAATACTTCAAATAAAATTTTAATCATGTTATCAAATATAATTCAAATTTTATTATCAAAGAGTACTGATATCAGGGCTAAAATAAGAGAAGAGCAGGAATAAAAGGAAATTAAGAAAGAATTAAAAGCAAAGAGGCTAAATAGACCTAATAAAAGGAAATTAAGAAAAAAATTAAAAGCAAAGAGGCTAAATAGACCTTCAGCCTGTTCGCCTGCGATTCTAGAGCAGTCTACTGCTAGGGCATAGGAGGGTTATTGAGATCCAATATCTTACAGGCCCAATTATTTGGAAATTGGGCTTTACTAATAGCCTTAGCTCCCAAAGTTGCCACTTTTAAGTGCTGCTACTATTTCTAGACATGGACTCGTGCACATATGAAGTGTGTGTTTTCTTTCTTGAAGGTCCTAATTTTGTTTTTTTGTTTTTTTTTTTTTTTTTATAATTTGGAATTAATATGAATAGCATTTTTGGTCCATTGAAATATTTTACAATAAAAAAGAAAATAAATTTGAAATAAAAAAAATAATTTACAATTTTGAAGAGATAAAAATATTTTATAATATTACTTTAATTATTAAATCATTAAATTATGTATAACTCAACTTATCAGATTTTAAATTTGTTTTTTAAAAGTTATCACTTCGAATCTTATAAATCTTGAAATTACTGAAGATTTATATTATTATTAACTATAAAATTCATAAAATTAGTCGAGATGTATCTAAGTTCACTCGAATACACATGTTAATAATAAAAAAACTAATTATTTTATCTTTTTTCTTCTTAACACTTATTTTTCATATATATCAAACAAAATTATTTTTAAATATTTTTTATTTATATAAACAAACAAAGAATATTTTTAATATATATTTTTTTTACATTCAAAAGGTTTTTTTAATCTAACCAGTAATGTAATGCTGGCTTAGAAACTAGTATTATAGAGACTCAAGAAATCAACTAACTTGAAAAACAACTGTGCTAGAATAAGGAAAGGAGGCGTACACCGACCCTTCAACTATAATCTCTCCTTGTTTTCTTTTTATAATTGGCCTTCTTAAAGAAATATATATTTAATGAAAAACTTTATATATGTCAATGCATGGCCAATTTTGGATAATAAATTAAATGGACATGCTTGAGAGGACAATGATATACAAATAAATAAATAATAAAAAAGGGTTCCTTTTATTGTTTTTAATTTTAATGCTTCTTGCGTGAAGGAAACTCTTTCTTGCAATAATTAAAATGCAATGAGATAAGTATTTATATTGCATAAAACATATTTTCAGTTTTTTCATGTGCGAGAATGATATATCGTAATCTATGCAGATGAATGATACGGCACCAACAGGCAACAATATTCCTCTTCCGCTCGAAAGCCAGCGACAGCCATGCAGAGGCATCACATAAAAACAACCAAGCATGCTTGTTATTGTAGGACTTCGAAATGAACCACAACCTGCTTTCATCAAATTCATCAACACATCATTTAATTGTCATCTTTCTGGCCAGCTATTGCTATAATGATTTTGAATCAACCATTGCGGTCTAAATAAATTCGAAGAAAATCACCTTTAGATTTTTTGTTTCTTTTTAATTTGTATGACAAAGAAATCAAGTCTATTTTATATTTTTTCTATAAAGAAGTTTGATTTTGGCACCTTCTTCGGCTGATGTTTTTCCTTTGCCTAGTAGGGCCTGGCACAAGGGATAGTGCCGAATATAAGAATCGAATCTATTAAGTAAGAAAGCCATTAACTCGTGCTTTCTTTCTAAATCCATCCGATATCATCTTTCACACCATCAGCCATGGCTCAGGAGTCCACCACTCTTGCAAAAAAGAGGTAGCTATATGCTCTTTCATTTTTTTTCCTTGAAGAGTTGTTAAGAGAATCATTACGTTCTTGAAGTATTTCTGTCTCAGGTGTGCAGTTGTGACAGGAGCAAACAAGGGGATTGGATATGAAATATGCAGGCAGTTGGCTTCTAATGGGATTTTGGTGGTGTTGACAGCCAGGGATGAAAAAAGGGGTCTTGAAGCTGTACAAAAGCTGAAAGATTGTGGCATCTCTGATGACCTTGTGATTTACCATCAACTTGATGTGGTTGACCCTGATAGCATTGTTTCCCTTGCTGAATTTGTGAAAAATAATTTTGGAAAACTTGACATCTTGGTATGAAGTAATGAATTTCTTGGGCTAATCCTTCTATTTATTTATTTA